TCCAAATACACCACATCAACCGCTTTACCCTCATCCACCTGTTTGGTGACCTTCTCAAAGAACTGAGTAAGGTTTGTGAGGCACGACCTACCCTTCACAAAACCGTGTTGACTATCCCTAATCAAATTATTCCTTTCTAGATGATTATAAGTCCTATCTCTTATAATCCTTTCCAACACTTTACCCACAACCGAAGTAAGGCTCACTGGTCTATGGTTTTTGCTGACAATTGACAATGGTTTCAAGGTCATGAGTAGACTCTTAATTCCAGGTACTTTTATTGAATTCAAATTCCATTCTGCTGTGGTGGGATTTGAACCCCGATCCCCAGTTTTTGGATTAACAGTGTAGAACTAATACCACAAGGACATGGCCTCCACTCTGTAGCTGTTTCTTGTGGTATAGATCCCGTGTTCCAGAAATGATCCCAATGCCTCAGAAATCTGATGCCCTCGTAACTACATAAATTCTCCACTTAAGTGTTGAATTGATCAATCCTCCTATTGCAATGCTCACTCACACGGTACTAAGAGTAATCCTGTGATTGCTGCTATTGAGGTCTGGCTTTTAATCCCTTTCTTAGCTTCCCAAAATCTGCTTTCAGGATCTCATTGGCTATACTGACAGAGGTAGAAATGGCAATGTGGATCATGAAATCTGTGTGGTCACCCTCACTCATGAGAATGCCTTGCAAATCACAGAATCCCCAGGGTGGAAAGCAGGCCATTCGGCTCATCAAGTCCATACAGTCACTCTGAAAAGCCCCTCACCCAAACCTAACCCCAACCCCCTACCCTGTAACCCAAGAACAAAGAAGAACAACAAACAACAAAGAACAATACAGCACAGGAACAGGCCCTTCGGCCCTCCAAGCCTGTGCCAAAACATTTTGCCCTTCTATACTGAAGCGATCTTCACTTACAGGATCTGTATCCCTCTATGCCACTCCTGTTCAGGTATTCGTCCAAGTGTTTCTTGAATGCTGCTATTGTGTCTGTGTCCACCACCTCTTCTGGCAATGCATTCCAGGCACTCACCACCCTTTGTGTGAAAAACATGCCTCGCACATCTTTAAATACTCCCCCTTGCACCTTGAATCTGTGTCCCCTAGTAACTGACCCCTCCACCCTGGGAAATTGCCTCACACTTTCCATTCTATCAACATCCTGGGGGTTACCATTGACCAGAAACTCAACTGGACTCACCACATTAACACAGTGGTTACAAGAGCAGGCCAGAAGCTGGGAATACTGAGGTGAGTAACTCACCTCCTGACTCCTCAAAGCCTGTCCACCATCTACAAGGCACAAGCCAGGTGTGTGATGGAATACTTCCCACTTGCCTGGATGAGTGCAGCCCCAACAACACTCAAGAAGCTTGACACCATCCAGGAAAAGCAGCCCGCTTGATTGGCACTACATCCACAAGCATTCGCTTCCTCCACCACCGACGCTCAGTAGCAGTAGTGAGTACTATCTACGAGATACACTGCAGAAATTCACCAAAGATCCTCAGATAGCACCTTCCAAACCCATGGCCACTTCCATCTAGAAGGACAAGGGCAGCAGATAATATGGGAACACCACCACCTCCAAGTTCCCCTCTAAGTCACTCACCATCCTGACTTGGAAATATATCTCCGTTCTTTCACGGTGGTTGGGTCAAAATCCTGGAATTCCCTCCCTAAAAGCATCGTGGGTAAACCTACAGCAGGAGGACTGCAGTGGTTCAAGAAGGCAGCTCACCACCACCTTCTCAAGGGGCAAATAGGGATGGGCAAGAAATGCTGGCCAGCCAGCAACGCCCAAAATGAACAGAAAAAAATGCCATTCACAATCTTGTAAACTTCTATCAGGTCACGCACCACACCCCACCACTCCACCACACCCACCCCACCCCGACCCCGCCCAAACCCCCGCAACCTCCTGCATTCCACTCAAAACAAACCAAGTCTAGCCAACCTTTCTTCACAGCTAAAATCCCCCATACCAGGCAACAAACTGGTAAACCTTTTCTGTACCCTCTCCAAAGCATCCACATCCTTCTGGTAGTGCGATGACTAGAACTGTACGCAATATTCTAAGTGTGACCTAAGTGGAGTTCCATAAAGCTGCAGCATAACTTGTCTATCCTTATACTCAATGCCCTTTACAATGAAGGCAGCATGCCATAGGCCTTTTTTACTACCTTATCTACCTGCGCTGTCACCTTCAGCGATTTATGGACCTGCACACCCAGATCCCTCCGCATATCAATACTCCTAAGGGTTCTGCCATTCACTATATAATTTCCACCTGTACTTGACTTTCCAAGATGCATCAACTCACATTGGTCAGGATTAAACTCCATCTGCCATTTTTCTGCCCATGCCTCCAACTGCTCTATATCCTGCTGTATCCTCTGACAATCCTCCTCACTATCCGCAACTCCACCAATCTTTGTGTTGTCCACAAACTTGCTAATTAGACCAGCTACGTTTTCCTCCAAATCATTCACCAGATCACCAACAGCAGAGGTCCCAGCACTGATCCCTGTGGAACACCACTAGTCACAGCCATCCATTCAAAAAAGCATTCTTCCACCGCTACCCTCTGTTTCCTATGACTAAGCCAGTTCTGTATCCTTCTTGCCAGTTCACCCCTGATACCATGTGATTTCATCTTTTGTATCAGTCTGCCATGAGGAATTTGTCAAAGGCTTTACTGAAGTCTACAGAGACAACACTTTTTCCTCAATCATCTTCGTCAACTCCTCAAAAAACAACCTCCCCTGCACAAAACCCTGCTGTCTGCCACTTGTAAGTCCATTTGTTTCTAAATGCTTATAGATCTTGTCCCTGACAATCTTTTCCAATAATTTCTCTTCCAGTTACATGAGACTTTAGTAGGTTCTTTCTTAATTTCCTTATATACATCAAGGGCTGGATCAGTTCCCATCCTCCTCGACCTTACATAGACTTTCTTTCTGAGCAAGGCCACAACATCCCTGGTCATCCAAGGTTCATGTAACTTGCCATATCTAAACTTCATTCTTGCAGCAATGTGCCATTCCTGAACTCCTACCAACAGCCATTTGAAATACTCCCACATGTCCGATGTAGATTTACCCTCAAACAGCCATCTCCAATCAAATTTCTCCAGTTCCTGCATTTCCCATGGCTAATTCATCTTGCCTGCACATCCTCGCACACTATGGACAATTTAGTACAGCCAATCTACCTGACCTGCATATCTTTGGACACCCAGAGGAAACCCATGCAAACATGGAGAGAAGGTGCAAACTCCACAGAGTCACCCGAGGCTGGAACTGAACCAAGTTCCTGGTGCTGAAGCAATGCTAGCCACTGAGTCACTGTGCCATCCAAACGTTCTGTGAGATCCCTAACTCTGATTTAAGGAAACCACATCTCATTCTGTTGTCACATGTACAGCTGGGGCTACTTTGACAGTCAGCAACTACAGGGCTGGTCACAGTCAGCTGTATTGTGGCTTCATTGATGTCCGGAGCAACACTACAGTGAGACTCTGGAGTGAGGTGGCTAACGTAGCAACGGAGTGTAGCAGCATCTGGGGCCCAGCACAAACCTGGATGACGGCAATGGCAATGATGCAGCAGCAATCAGAGCTGAAGACTTGAGTGGCGAAGCCTGTCACGCCCGATGGAGGTCAGCAACAGCCAGGTGGCAAGGGTGGCAGGTGAGCATGGGCCGGTCTTTGGCCAGAGCAGGGGAAAGCGAGCCTTCTTGGGGCACCTACAGGCCCACAGGTTAAGAAAGGACTAATATTTGACTTTTTAAACCTTATGTCTTTATTTTTCTCCTTCCGTAACTAAGATTTTGTACCTCGGTATTTTGCACCTAAGATGCCCCCATGTGTGGCGATATTGTACAGTTCCACTATACTCCTGTACCCTGTACTTCAGTACATGGGACAATAAAACCTAAAACCAAATCAAGTAACACTCATCTGTACCTGAAAACAATGAATCTCCCATCACTATTGCTCTTCCACTTACATTCCCATGCCATGCAGCTGAGCCATTCATGCTGGCACAGACTTAGTGGTGACTGCACACCTCTGAGAAACCATTGCCTCAACAGGAAATGGAAAATTGGTGAACAAATGAAATTGTCCCAGCAAACTTCTGCACTACCTGGTTCTGATGGAATGACTGCCTGAACTCATTCATTCTCTGCCTTCATACTCCTATCCTGCAGTGTGCCCACCTCACTAAATGTGCTATTCACATAGTTCTCAGGCTTGTAGATGTAACACAGCTCTAGCCAGTGGTCAAGCTGCAAAATCCAAAGCTCATTTCTCTAGCCGGCAACAGTTGCTGCACGTGGTCATCAGTTGCAGGTAGCATCCTCAAACGTACACATGCTGCAAGACATATATTTCACACAGCCATACTACCCTGTCATTCCTTCACTTTTATTTTACACATGCACAAAAAGAACAAAATGCTGGAAAAACTCAGCAGGTCTGGCAGCATCTGTGGAGAGAAATCAGAGTTAATTTTTCAGGTCTGATATTTGAAGGGTCACCTGACACTGGCTTCTCTCCACAGATGCTGCCAGATATGCTGAGCTTTTCCTAAAATTTCTGATTTTTTGATATACAGAATTCACAGTTCTTTTTGGTTTTTAACTATATTTTAGTTGGCCTTAATCTTACCTCCCTTTTGCTTGCGTTTCTTAATTAGAAGTAGCTGAGAAGTTTCTGAAAATGCATTTTTTAAATTTCCAGCTATTTAGAGACAGTTGCTCACCAATCAGCAAATTATTTATACAATTGTATAAATACCTGCAATTTTCTCCTCCTCTGTAAAAGACCATCAGTAAGGAATGTTCGTTGCTGTACTGCCTCTCGGAGTTCAGACTCAAACGTTGCAATCTGTTCTTCACTGTAGACACTGTCCAACATTCCCTCTAGCCCCTGAAATCTGTCGAGTTGGATTTTCAATTGGTTGCTACGAGCCAGATGATCCTGAGAGAATGAAGCAAAGTTCAGCAATCACGTCACATTGCAAAAAGTGAATTGCTGCCATTACTGCTGCCTTTTTAACACACAAACAAAATCAAGAGCTTGAGGGAGGAGGCTGCGTATGTCACCCAGTCTACTCCAGCTTCTACATCATTTCAGTTTGGAACATCTATCCTTTTCACTCCTTGATCAGCACCAATTACCTCAATGTTCTGCAGATAAGTCTTGGTCAACATCCCACCCTCCGTGTCCAGAGGCAAGTGCAGCAGGCTGCGAGTGCTGTTCCTCCATTGATGAAACTCTTGCAGGAACTTCTGAAAATCACACCGCAGTCTTGCTCCAAGCTGGTTGCACCTCTTCATAATCTGCCCTTTTACCCTAAAATACAGAAACTCGGGTATTCAGCCAGAGTCCTTAACCATTGCAAACTTGTGGAATTAAACTGTAGCAATGTTATTTGTTTTTACAAGTTTGAAATGACAGCCACTATGTACAAATCTGACTGGGGAACGTCAGTTCTGACAGAGTGACTGGACACGAGATTGTCTTTCTCTCTACAGATGCTGCCAGGCATGTTGAATTTCTCCAGCACTATGTTTTTGTTTCAATTTCCACCATCCAGTTTTTTGTAGGCAACACAATCGTTCAGTTGCACTGTCACGGGTCACTGAGATACAACTAAATGATGATGGGATATTGCGTAGAAAGTGCTTAGCTGAATCATTGGGCCATGCATGAACATGATATCACAACTGTCAGACACATTAGTTGAACATTGTACAGTTAGCAATTCTCAATGCAGCGAAAAGAATCTCCTGCATTTAATATTAACACAAAACACATCACTGCCTGGACTAAATTTCTCAACATTCTGTCAACCCCACATACATCACCAACCAGCTGTGTCTTCATCAGGCACGGCATCACTTGCTAAGCTTGTGGTTCATTCCTTCCAAGCCTGATGGAAATGGCAAATGAGAATCTTACAGTAACTGGCAGTCTCTGAGTACGCTATCAGAGATGGTAGGAACTGCAGATGCTGGAGAATCCGAGACAACAAGGTGTAGAGCTGGATGAACACAGCAGGCCAAGCAGCATCACAGGAGCAGGAGCTCTGAGTACGCTATGTTGGCTTGTGTTGGACTGGCTACACAGCACCATCCAGTGGCTGCAATCAGCTGTTAAGACATCATGTTCTTGAGCAATGCCACTTAGCACAGCCGTGGTAGTGTAGAACATTTTGGACAGTGCCGTCAGAAACTAGGTGGTAATTTTCAAAAGTACTGTGCAGTGGTCAGTTTTAATTTTCTCAGAACACAACTAGCTCAGTGACGCTAGTTAACTAGAATCTCTCATCGGTGGACAATGCAGGCAAGGAGCTGGAAACCAGCCCAGGAGATCACATGGACCAACCTTCTTGTACAAAGATACTTAATGTGTACATGAACACCACGGCTGTCTCAACATTGTTAAAACGGAGCAGAGTGTTTCACACTATCAAATTCTGGAGAAGAGTCATACTAGACCCGAAATAATAACTCTGTTTCTCCCTCCATAGATACTACCACACCTATTGACTTTCTCCAACATTCTGACTTTGCACCAGATTTATTGAAATCAATTGCATGGAGGCTTTCAAAAGTGAGATAACAAGAGTTCAGAGGCAGAATGTTCCTGTTAGAGTGAAGGGTAAGGCCAGTACAAGTGGGCAACAATGAATGAAGAAAGATATTGAGGATCTGGGCAAGAATCTGCTTAGGTGCCCTGAAATTTCTTTTGTAGCTTCCCAGAATAGAATGCCTACAGTTTGGAAGCAGGCCGTTTGGCCTATCGAGTCCACACCGAGCAGCCCACCCAGCATCCCACCCACTATCCTTGTAACCCTCCATTTCCCCATAGCTAATCCACCTAGCCTGCACATCCCTGAACACTGTGGTTAATTTAGCACGGCCAATCCACCTAACCTGCATGTCTTTGGATTGTGGGAGGAAACTGGAGCACCTGGAGGAAGCCCACGCAGACACGGGGAGAATGTGTAAACTCCACACAGACAGTCACCCGAGGGTGGAATTGAACCCAGGTCCCTGGCGCTGTGAGGCAGCCGTGCTAACCACTGAGCCACCGTGCTATCCTGAGGTACACCTGATCAGGTCCTGGTGATTTATCTACTTTTATGCTTTTTAACACTGCCAGCACCACCTCTTCTGTAATGTGGACTGTTTTCAAGACATCCGTAATCATTTCATAACAACAACAACAAACACAGAAGTTGCTGGAAAAGCTCAGCAGGTCTGGCAGCATCTGTGAAGAAAACTGAGGAAGGGTCACCGGACCCAAAATGTTAACTCGAATGTTTTTCTTCACAGATGCTGCCAGACCTGAGCTTTTCCAGCAACTTCTGTTTTTGTTCCTGATTTACAACATCCGCAGTTCTTTTGGTTTTTATAAGTAATCATTTCCCTGAGCTCCCGAGCCTTTCTCCATAGTAAATACTGACTAAATATTCATTTAGTATCTCTCCCATCTCCTGTGGTTCCAGACACAGATGACCTTGTTGATCTTTAAGGGGCCTAATTCACTCCCTAGTTGCTCCTAATGTACTTGTAGAATCTCTTTGGACTATCCTTAGCCTTGGCTGATAGAATTTTCTCATTCAGAGAGAAAAAAAAACTGCAGATGCTGTAATACAAGGTAGACAAACAGTAGGCTGGAAGAACACAGCAGGCCAGGCAGCATATGGTGGAGAGGAGAAGTCAACGTTTCGGGTATTACCCTTCTTCAGGACTGGATGTGGGTGTAGGGGGAGCTGCAGATAAAGGGGATGGGGGTGAGAGGGAGAGCGGAATAGTGATGATAGGTGGACACTGGTAGTTACGACCCCGTTGGTTGATGGGAGGGATGAATCCTGTTGTAAGCTGGAACGGAGAGTCAGAAGGTGGAATGGAAAGGAGGAGGTGGGGCTGGAAGGGAGCCAAGGGCTGGGTGGGAAGATTATTTGAAATTAGAGAAATCAATGTTGAGCCCTCCGGGCTGTAGGGTGCCCAGGCAGAAGATAAGGTGTTGTTCTTCAAATTTGCGTTCCGAGTCGCTGCGACACTGGAGGAGGCTGAGGATGGACACGTAGGAGGGAGAGTTGGTGGAGGGGGAGTTGAAATGGGCAATGATCGGGAGGTTAGGCTGGCCATTACGGGCCAGGCGAATATGCTCGGTGAAATGGTCACCTAGTCGATATTTGGTCTCGCTGATGTAGAGAGCACAGGATGCAGTAGACGAGGTTGGAGGAGATGCAGGTGAAGCTCTGTCTCGCCTGGAAGGGCTGTTTAGGGCCCTTGATGGCGATGAGGGAGGTGGTGTGTGGGCAGGTGTTGCAAGTTTTCCGGTTACAGGGGAAGGTACCGGGCGGGTGGGAGTGGTTGGTGGGGATTGTGGCACAAACTAAGGAGTGGCCAAGGGAATGGTCATTCTAGAAGGCAGAGAGGGGTGGGGAGTGGAGGATGTTCTGAGTGGTGGGGTCTAATTGGAGTTATCACATATTCCCTTTTTGCTTTCCTGTTTCCCCTCTTAAAAATGCCCCTACTCCCCTTATAATCTTCAAGAGATTCACTTGATCCCAGGGTGTATAGCTGACATATGTCTCCTCCTTATTCTTGCCCAGATCCTCAATATCTTTCTTCATTCATTGTTGCCCACTTGTACTGGCCTTACCCTTCACTCTAACAGGAACATTCTGCCTCTGAACTCTTGTTATCTCACTTTTGAAAGCCTCCATGCAATTGATTTCAATAAATCTGGTGCAAAGTCAGAATGTTGGAGAAAGTCAATAGGTGTGGTAGTATCTATGGAGGGAGAAACAGAGTTATTATTTCGGGTCTAGTATGACTCTTCTCCAGAATTTGATAGTGTGAAACACTCTGCTCCGTTTTAACAATGTTGAGACAGCCGTGGTGTTCATGTACACATTAAGTATCTTTGTACAAGAAGGTTGGTCCATGTGATCTCCTGGGCTGGTTTCCAGCTCCTTGCCTGCATTGTCCACCGATGAGAGATTCTAGTTAACTAGCGTCACTGAGCTAGTTGTGTTCTGAGAAAATATGTGTCATCTGAGCCACGGATGAGGTGCTGGAGGGTGGTTAATGTTGTGCCTTTATTTAAGGGAGGCTGCAAGGAGAAACCTGGGAACTACAGACCAATGAATCTGATATCAGTGGTGGGTATGTTGTTGGAGGGGATTTTGAGTGGTAGGATTTCCACTTATTTGGAGAGGCAAAGACTGATTAAGGATAGTCAGCATGGCTTTGTGCATGGGAAACAGTGTCTCACAAACTTGATTGAGCTTTTTTTAGAAGACGCAACCAAGAAGATAATGAGGGCAGAGTGGTAGACTTTGTCTACATGGACTTTAGTAAAGCCTTTGACAAGATTCTGCATGGTAGATTGGTTAATAAAGTTAGATCATATGGGATTCAAGGAGAGCTTACCAATTGGATACAAAATTGTCTTGACAGTAGGAAACAGAGGACGGTGGTAGAGGGCTGTTTTTCGGACTGGAGACCTGTGGTGTTTAGTAGGGATTAGTGCTGGGTCCACTTTTGCTTGTTACTTATACAAACCATTTGGATTGGAATTTTGGAAGCATAGTTAATAAGTTGAGGATGACACCAAATTGGTTGTATAGTCAACAGTGAAGAAGGTTATCGACAATTACAAAGGGAGTTTGAGCAATTGGATCAATGGGCCGAGGAGTGGCAGATGGAGTTTAATTTGGATAAATCACGTATTGCATTTGGTAAGACAAACAAGGACAGGACTTATACAGTTAATGGCAGGGCCCTGGGTACTGTTGTTGAACAGAGACACCTAGGGACACATAACTCTTTAAAAGTTGCAACACGGGCAAACAGGGTGGTTAAGGCACCATGTAGAGCACTTGTCTTCATTGCTCAGACCTTTGAGTATAGGGGTTGGGATGTTAGGTTGCCATTATAGAGGGCTTCGGTGAGACCACTTCTGGAGTACTGGTCGCCCTGTGACAGGAGGGATATTATTACATTGGACAGGGTTCAGGTAAGATTTAAAGATGTTATCGTGACTGGAGGGTTTGAGGGAGAGGCTGGATAGGCTGGGGCCATTTTCCCCGGAACATCAGAGGCTGAGGGGTGTCCTTATAGAAGTTTATAAAATCGTGAGGGGCATAGATAAGGCGAACAGCGAAGTCTTTTCCCCTGGGGTAGGGGACTTCAAAACTAGACGGCATTTTTTAAGGTGAGAGGAGAAAGATTTAAAAGGGACCCAAAGGGAAAATTTCTCACACAGAGGCTGGTTTATATGTGGAATGAACTGCCAGAGAAAGTGGAAGATGCAGGTACAGTTACAACATT